AGTGAAGATCAGCAGAAAACCATTTGAGAAGAACGCTTATTCTTACTGCCTTTGTTGTCTCACTTTCCCAAGCCTTCAGGCTCACCAACTGCTCTGGGATATTAAGTTATCTGAGTGATGGGCAAAGAAAACAAGCAGGGAATGTTTTGTGAGATTGTAACAGAAAAGAAAAAAATTATAAGGAAGACCTTCCCAGGGCTCTTGCCAGAGGAATGTCACCCTAGGAACAGCTTGCAGCACTGAGGTAGATCCAAGAGAATGTGGGTAATTCATCATTCTTCTTAATAATGGAGACTTTTATGTATGAATTATGCCCATGTTCCACACACAGCTTTTCCTACCACCTTACCTTCCTGTTTCAGCCAAACGATTCTCCGAAGTTGTTTTTAAGAAAGCTTAAGGAGGTATAACCTGAAATTATAATCTTGAGTAGGTAGAATTTGCTTGTATGGTGAATGCTAGTATGATGAGCTTTAATATGTGTTAGCAACTCAGTATCCCAACTCAGTGTTCCAAACTCAATACTTCGAGTTTTGTGTTAGAAGTGGCAATGGTATAAGGTAACTTTGTAGCCCTTCATATAAAAAGCCCCAATATTTTCTGCATGTGACCTTCAAGCACTTCAGCACTGTGTTAAGTAGTATGGAAAATTCTGGAAAAGAAATAGTAAAAACCCAAACTGCCGAGATCCGTAATAGAAGTAACTCTGAGCCAGTGTACGGTGTCATCACCAACAGTGCTTTTTTGGCAATGAGAGGAAAATTAGATAAAGGATGAGTGAAGAGGGAAAGAAAAGAGCTAAGGGGATAGATGTCACTCTGCTGTTTGAAGCAAACATTCTAGCTGTCCATGAAATATATTCCAAGACATAAAGTTTCTGATCCTGTTTCTAGACTAGAACACCAAACTAGCTCAAACAGAAAAGTGCTTTGGCATATGCTGACAAAACGTCCCTTTAGCACTGTGGACTTGCTGTTCAGTTTAATGGCTCACCTCCCCACCCTGCTGAGGTAATTAAAGTGTTCTAAAGCCCCTTCAGAGCTCAAAAATAGTTTCGGTTTGCTGGGCAGGTGATAAATCTCATTGAGCCTGACAGGAATTTCATTACACTTTCTTCATGAAAACACCAGGGATAACCATTACCTGGATCTTGCAGACCCCTCCCCACCCGCCCCCCGCAGTTGAAAGGTTACACACCAATAACAAGTTCTTCATCATTTAAATGGATAGGAGGCCTCCTTAAGTTCAGCCAGCTTAAAGTGGACCAAAGAAAAATTGGTCTTGGACTTTGGGGAAGGTAAGGTCATTTTTTACTGCTGCTCAGAAATAGCCCAGTCAGTATGGCTCCATTAACATCTCATAGAAGATGAAACAGAAGTTTGCTTTTGTTTTTGCTTTTGTTTTCTTGTAGACTTCATTGCACCACTCACTGAAGTGTTACAGATGTAAGATGGAAGTGAGTATGTTGTTGAACACCTGGATGAGTAGCCAAAAAGGAGTCCCACAGGGAGTAGGGTACTGAACTAACCTGCCGTTCTATGGCTTGCTGTAATGTTGAGCTCATTACCAGTTGGGTTAGAAAGAGGAAATTAAATGTAGACTTCTGCTGGAAACCCGTGGGAAAGTTTCTTTGGGCCTGCTGTTTTCCTACTTACAGAGCTGTCCATTGCCATGTGGCGTTTATCGTATCTTCCCTAGCAGCCCATCATCCAGAGAGAGGCTGTTGTCAAAACGAAGCAAAACTCTGGATCCTTCTTTCACCACCAGTGGGCCTGACAAGATGCAAGCCAGGCTAGGGATACGGAGAAAGAGCCAGCAAACCAAATTTCATTTACCCTGGACCTGGTTCAGAATAAATAAGAACTTCAGTTGCACCTAACTCTAAGACAGAGGGAAACCTTACCCAAAAGCTTTGGGGTCACCATGGAACAGACATAGCCTCATAGTTTGCCTGGGCCTGGAAAGGCTATCACATCAGGATTTCACCTGAAAGAAATTCTTATTTACAAATCCTTTTCTCCAAGATCGACCCCAGATATTTTCTGCATTGTGATTACATTGCTCATTTGATCCCTTGCCGCCTTCTACTTTCCCTCATCTTAAAGAAATCTCACCTGTCATATTTCTATATCAACTCCCTCTCCCCCTATGGATATTTCACAACATTTACTGAAATCTTTGGAAATAACCGAATGTCACAAAATCAGGGTTGGGAAACATACTCAAGTTATAAAGGTATGCGGCTCTTGTACTGTTCCCAGTTCTCCTGAATATGATTGCATGGATTTATCATTCCATGGTACAAAATAACAAGGTTTTGGAGTGGGCTCAAATGGCTCATACCTAGCACATGGCTGGAAGCCAGGAAACATCCTAGGAGCTGCTCACTATGCCATGTGATATTCTCTCATTTCCCCTGCATGTCTGCATCTGCATGTTTTCTGTCTGATTTGAGTTTGATTTTTGTGGGATATTTATGCATGCTGTTATTTGGATTTATTTTCTAATTTAAACATTGTTTTCTTCCTCTGCATCTGTGTTTTTCTTTTTCTTTTGTTTTATTTTGCTTTTTTGTTGTTTTGTTTTCACTAGGCGACCCCCTCCTGCAGTTCCCGGACGACCATCCTAACCCCCATCATTCATCTCCTTTTGTTTTCGACAATATGTCTATACTTGGTATTTAAAAGCCTTTCATTTGCACTATATGTCATATGTACATAAAAACTTTTATTTTTGATCCATGTCTATAATAAAAACAAAGTTTATTCTATATAAAAAATGAAATGTGTTGTTTCTTTTTCTAAAGAAGATCCGAGTTAAAATAGGAGTTTGTTTCAACTAAAACCACGTAAGGTGAAAAATACATAATTTGACCTTTTAAGGTGCTTAAATTGAAAATGATTGATTTTAAGTTCTTAAAGCATTGTGATTTGGGATAAAATTTGGTGGAGAAAAATAATCTATCTTCAGTTGAAATGTCTGTCCAACAGAAGAGTGAAACAAGTAAAAATCCTGGGTGTCTAGAAAAGACACAGAGGACTGAATAATTTCACTCTGCCCCCAGGAATCCCATTAATAATTATGATTGCACCAAGACCTTTTTTCTATTTTCATTATTTTTCTAGGAGATAAAATATGTATGATTATGGGAGAAATTGTTGGTCTGAAACACATCAATCTCATACTTTGGCAAATTCAGGGGGAAAAACACATCATCTGAATAAAAGTACAAGACAAGGAAATGTTGCCACCTTGAGAAGATTCTTAATGATGTCAGTAAAATACTGGAAGAATAGAATCTTTATGATTTTTGGGGAAAAGACAACTTTTTTTATACTTTAATCCTCGAATGGTAATTCCAACAGTGAAATTCTAAGCTATCGTTAAAAACAAATCCCAAAGATTTCTCCAAATAAAATGTTTATTATTAAGGTAATGTAGTCCATCCTGCCAAATATGTGATCTGAAGGCTCCCTAAAGGTTTGAGATTTAATTCAGAGCTTTCTTTTTGAAGATTTACTTGGTCTAAATTAAAATTTTAAAGGATCTCATCTTGGATGAGGTCACTTCTGAATGTGCCTCACTTTAGCATATGAAGAAAAAAACTATAGGACAGGAAAGTAAAGTACTGTTGATCAGGACTTGGTGGTCCACTCACTTCCTGGCTGACTTAGACAAGCCCTGGCAAAGAGAGGCAGCGCCGGAGATGTAGGCAGGAACCTCAGTTCAACCATGGGGGACCCTCACTACCAATACCCTTTCTCTGGGCTGTAAAACTCTTTTTTAAGGACTATGTTCTCCTCCCCAAAATGCAAAAGCAGTTTATTTCTCAGGTGAAAACTTTCATATGGCACGTTACGTTGGTGTGTACTTGCATCTCAAGTTCAGTGACTGCGAGTTAGAAGCGGTCATGACTAAGGAAATTCAAAGGCGCCAAAGCTGGGGATCAACAGAAGCTCAAGTTTACCTGGAGGCGGCTGAATTGATGCAAAATATCACACAGCATGCAGTTTGTTGCCCTTCCCTTCACCTTCAGTCCAGGCGTTTAATTCCTTTTAATCAGTATTCTTATAGGGTAGCTTTCTCATCTGATAGCATGCTCATCCCAACAGACCCGGTTTTCCTGGATTATATCACACCATCTCCGCAAACACAAAACAGAGGTTGTCAACAGGAAGGTTTTTGCCAATTCATCTTTTTTAAGTGTTTGGTACTTTTCCACTTTGTCTTAACCTTGAACTTATTTTTATGCGCAGTGTTACACCATTTAGATGTTTAAAACTTAGACTGACCTGATGACCATGAGAACGTAAGGCTCGAGTCATGGCAGAATGAAATGATTCCCTGGCGATCTTACTCGGTCTCCTCAACAACTAGGTATGGCCCCTTCCTCACATTCGATAGGCGAGAAGAAAGGGGGCCTCCTCTTCGAATGGGAGGGGGAAGGAAGCAGCCTGGAGTAAAATTAAACTATGCTGAGGTTTGTTCATATTTACCGCTCATAGTGTTTCTGTGTTTCATAACATCCCCTTCCTCAGCTCTCCCACCTCCACCCTCAATATTGGATAGAGAGCTGAAGAAGTATAGTTGAACTGTACTGACTCAGGATCTTCGGGAGAAACAAACCATTATATCTTTAGTAAACATAATATTTCTTAAGTATTCTCATCCCTTTATTTATGCATCAAACATTTCTTGAATTTATAAGAATGTCCTAGTTACTGGGAACACCAGAGAAGAAGCAGGATAAAAGTAGCTGACAAAATAGCTAAATAAGCAATTCCAATATAAGCTGTGACAGGAGAAAATTTGGGTCCTTTTTTCCAGGGAGAACTGTTACCGACTTCCATGCTGAAGCAGTTATTTGAGTCCTAGAACCAGATTATCTGCTTGACCCAAAGCCTGCTAACATTCCAGAATGTGGTGATTTTGACCTCTGACAAAGAAGGGAACAATAGAGCTCATTTCAGCCAATGAGAAACCAAATTTTTCATTTCTAATGGAATAGTATAAGACTCTGAATCACATAAGTGTTGGTTGAGAAAGACATAGTGCTATTGAAAGTGAAGTAGTCTGTTAACTTTGCTTTGGCTTCTAACAAAAAGGTTTTTGATTTAGAAGATACCCTGTAGCAGTCTCCCACTGGATGCAGTGAGGGGAATGAGAATCCCCGAGTCTCCAGCTAGAAACACCCAGGACACCTAGGAGATGGAGAAAAGAGAACTAAAGGTAGGAAAAAATAAACAAAATGGCCCATGCTTTCCTTGGGGAGTTCCACTGTTAAATAAATGTCTGTAAGCCTTGGGAGCCACATATACAGTGAAGGGTGTTTCAGCAAACATCCTAGAAGTTGAAATCCAAGAGGAGATAAGGAAATAACCTCAGCTGTTCATGTACAAACATGGATACCTTCGGTGGGTTCAGATCCTGTACCATTCAGTATTCTTTATCCCAGAGTTTGAAAAAGACGGTACTTGCCAACATCTGTTTTATAACTCAGCACTAAGTATGATTCTTTAAAAAAAACTCAGAAAATGGACGTTGCAATCTTTAGTCCAGTTCCATGAGATTCACAGTCTTCACAGCTGTAAGTCCATCTTAAAGACATGAACCTCATCCACAGAAAGAAAAGATTGCTGAAAAAGAAAAAAAACTTCTGTACCCTTTATAATACTACAGAGTCTATATCTGAATAAATCAAATGGAGCTTATGCTACCACATCACTGTATGTCCCCCATTTAAAGAGACATACCGGCTGCCTTCACTACCATAATATATACCTATTTTTGTTTGTTTGTTTAATACTACAAGTTTCTATCGAATTGCAATACTGTCAACATTTAAGATCGGATGGCAGGTTGTTGGATGAGTCAAGACGATAAACTGCTACTCTCGAAGTGTTCTTAATCTAATCACATTTTACAATACTTTATATCAGGTTTTGATTCTCACTGCAGTTCACGTCTTCAGTGATCCTCTTGAACACGAGCCATGAGCAGGCAGAGAATAAAGAAAGCCTTAGCCTCTGGCCCCCAGGAGCCAAAGAGACTTAAGAATCCTCAAGACAGTAACAGAGAAGTCACTGAAGTGGGTCCTCCGTCTCAAAACAGCTGCTAACAGACTAACAGAGGATATTTTTGAAGCTCCGTGTAACACAGTGGAAAAACTAGCCTTTCAGATTCTTTTTTGTTTTTGTTTTTTTAGTCTTTTGGATTATTAAGGGCTAGCTTTTCTTCCCCCAGCCCTCCTCTCTGTGGCTGTATTTCAGTTAGAGCCAAGGAGATACTTACCTCTGCCTGCTGCTGTTTTCTCTTTTAAAGACAAAAATACTCTTAGCCTCATACACAATAGCTGCCTGGGGCCTAAAGATCTGTTTATTCTGCAATTTAGAAAGAGTGGGAGGCCCACGGTGTTCTCACCAACCAGAGTCCAAATGTTCCATGGGCCCCGCACAAGGCCACGGGGCCGTCCTGGAGCGTGAGCCATGTGCCAGCGGAGCTTGGGAAAGCAGAAGCAACTCCTCAAGACAGCTCTCTCAGGGGCCCGAGGGGACAGTATCCCTCGACCTCAGCACTGGTAAAATCAATGTGCTCCAACACCCCAGCAAAAGTATGGTCAAGAGATTGGAGAGCTAGTCTGTTTAGGGCACAAGACCTCACTCAGGCTGATCCTGGGTGTCATTTGAAACCCAGGTGCCAATTGGCACTGGATGGTGACAGAAAAGCCCATTTGCCTTTCTAAGCCCCTTTCTCTGGCACTCTTAGCCCTGCGGCACCTGACGGCGTGAGGAGGCACCAGTACCGTGGAGTTGCCAGGCCCCAGGTGCCGAGCAAATGTTGGGCTGTTGGGAAACAGAACTACCTTATCTCTGGGGAGTCCTCCTGTTAATCACAGTAATAGATCTGGGAAGAAAATGGTGTTTTGAGTTGGCTGGTGATTGCCACTGTTCCCGAGGTAAACAAGCCAACGTTAATTGCACCTGTGAGTTGTAAAAGAAGAAAGACACCAAAAGCAGTGGCATGGTCTAAGCTAGCTCACTCCTGCAGAACTTCAGCTGTTTCTACTCTGCCTCTCGCCTGCAGCTGAGCTCGCCAGAGCCCTCTCAGTGGTCAGAGGAGCGTCCCTCCTCAGGCCTGATGGTTCCCAGGACCTTGGTCAAACCCTGGCTCTCACTTCAGCTCTGATCACTTTCCCCAGAATCCAACTTTCTAGAACACTACAAATGGCCCTGCCCCACTGTTGGAAGTTTGCATGGTTCTCGGGAAATTAGTCATTAGCCCCACAAGGCTCTTGTCAATATGTCCATTACCCAGAGAATCAGCACATGAATTCCATTAGGGAACAATAAAAAACATGTCCGTGATGATATGAGGATGCCTGCACACCAAGACCACACCTCCTTTGAGGTAAAAAGGAGGCCCCCAGAAATCTCGCCAGCCCTACCCACCAACACTCATATTCTCATCGTCTGCCTTGAGCCTGCCGGGACTTACATGGCTCTTTATCCCAGCCTAGGTCAGTCCGCCAAAAAGCCCTAGACTGCTGGGTCGCTGTCCTGTATGGAGATTGGAGGACATATCCATTCCATGCTCTTCTCCCCACCTCTCCAACTTCTGAAACCTTTACCCTGTACCCTCTATAATTCGCTGCCCATGATCAGTAAACTTCCCCTAAATCTTCAACCTGTCTTCTGGATGTGTCCGTCACCTTCTTTCTCTAGCAGGACAGCTCTAAGCGTACTGCTTTCCGGCAGCCTTCTCCAAAGGGGGTGCTTGTCTCCCACAGCCCTTGTACTGCTGAGCCTCACGTGGGGTAGGTATCCTTGTTTCTCATTTTTGCTTTCAGACCATTCATCCTTCCTCCTCCGTAAAACCTTCAGCTTTGAACCTCATGCACCAGATTATAGCACATACCCCTCGTTGTTGCACTTATCTACCAATCTCCAGTTCATTCTCTCTTATTTCTTGATGATTTTAGCTCCTGTTTCCCTGTCATTGTTTCCAGTACCACTCTTGTCTTAATTCTCAGGGATTTCTACCTAAGTGTAGGTATTCCTTCCAACACCGCCCCCCATCTCACTTCTCATTTCCTTGGACTTCACTCCTCCAGTGACGTTGCCCTCCACCCTACCTCAGCTGCTCACTCCCAAAATCATAACCTTGTCTTTATCTATTCTCTGACCTTTACTTCCCGTCTTCCAAACCCCTTGAACCTCCAATCCATTGACCTTTGCCCTGTCCCTCACCTCCCCGTCCTTCACCCTTCTTGAGGTTCACTCTCCTTCTTACCTAACTTAAATTCCACGGTCAACCATTATAATCAGGCCCATGCATAGCTACCGTTCTCCCTTGCCCTTCTCTCAATCTGCTTAATCACCACGCTGGGTAAATTCAATTCTCCGTCTACTCTAGTTTGCACTCATGTAGCTGTACATGGTTAGGAAAATGCACACACAACCCACACACAACGAAGCTTCACTTGAAATTCATGACTACCATTCTCAAGAGAGCCCTTACTACTGCTGGGCAATTATACTATGCATCCCTAGTTCATTCACTCTCCCAATGTCCTGAACTGTTTCATACCTCCTCACTTCATCATTTCCCCCTTACTCTCACATCTCAGCTGATTCTTTGCCTCCTACTTCCCTGAGAAAATTGAAGCAATCAGAAAAGAATTTCCAAAGATTCCCATCACCTGATTTATCCACTAACCATCTACCCACTGACCAGCATCTGTGTCTATATTCTCTGCCTTCCCACTGTTACCATAGATCAACTATCCCTTCACATCCTAAAGCCAGTCCCTCCACTTGTGCAATAGATCCCATCACCTCTCACCTGCCCAAGAATATTGCCCCAGCAATTAATTCTTCCCTTTCTCACATCAAATATTACTTTCTACTGTTTCATTTCCATCACTATACAAACATGCTGTCATTTCTCCTATCTTAAAAATAAAAAGGTTTCTTGCCCTCACCTCCCCTTTCAGTTTCTGTCCTATTTCCTGTTTCCCCTTTGACGTAAAACTGCCAGAGTTGCCTGTACTTGCTGCTCCAATTTCTCTTCTCTTATTCTCTCTTAAATCCACTTCATATAGTTTTTATTCCCACAGCTCCACAAAAAAAAAATGTTCTTTTAAGGGACACCAATCACCTCCTCCTTGCTAAATCCGATGGTCAATGCTCAGTCCTTGCTTTCTTTTCTTTTTTCTTTTTTTTTTTTTTGCAGTACGCGGGCCTCTCACTGTTGTGGCCTCTCCCGTTGCGGAGCACAGGCTCCGGACGCGCAGGCTCAGCGACCATGGCTCACGGGCCCAGCCGCTCCGCGGCATGTGGGATCTTCCCGGACCGGGGCACGAACCCGTGTCCCCTGCATCGGCAGGCGGACTCTCAACCACTGCGCCACCAGGGAAGCCCAAGCCATCAGTTTTGACTGGACTTCAGCTGTCAGGCTAAGTAGAGGATCACATACTACTATTGCAGTATTGGGTTGCTTTCTTGATTTTTCAGATTTTGATCTGATTACAGTTGATCACCCCTTCTTCCTTGAGTCATCTGCACTTGGTTTCCAGGACTCTAAACTCTTGATTTTCCTCCTGTCTCAGTGGTTGTGCTTTCCAAATCTTTTTGCTTATTCTTCTCTCCAACCTTTTACTTTGGATTTCTTAGTCCTCTGTATATGTAAACTTCCTTGGTGATGTCATCCAGTCACGTAGCATTCAATGCCATTTATATACCAACAAGTCTTAAATTTATATCTCAATCCCATACATTGCTCCTAAAACCCAAACTCATATCTTCAACTCCCTACTCAACATTTCAGTTTGGATGTCTACATTTCATACCCTACATGCCTCAAACTGAATTCCCAATCCTCCTCCCCAAAATCTTTATCCGTATCCCCTTGGCCCCCATCTCAATTGATGGCATCTCCATCTTTCAATTTGTTCAGGCCAAAAACCGTAAGAGTCACTTACGATTCTTCTCTTGCATCCATACCCTACATCTAATATGTCAGGAAGACCTTGACTCTACTTTCAAGTTATATCTAGAATGTGACTATTTTTCACCACTTCCTCTGCTATCACTCTGCTCTGAGGCACTGTCATCCCCTGCTTGGATTAATATCAGAGCCTCCTAATGCTTATTTCTGCTCTACTTTTCCCCACAGCAACCAGAATGAGCCTGTTAAAATTTATGTCAGATCATGTCCCTCTTTTTCTCCAA